GTCGTCGACACACGTGTCGCGCGCTGGTCCGGCGATAAAATCGCTGACGCGGCGTCGTGGCGCACCCGGTACACGTCGTCCGAAACATAACAACAATTACGGAACACTCTCTGAACAATATCGGCTGCGCGTTTCGTTATCCCGCGGGATCGGATTCTACAACCGGACACCACTCGGTAACCCGCGACGGGCCGGCGACGGAAAGCGAAATTCGATATAACAGAGATACAACCGACGCGACGCGCGGTATTATTCCGGTGATTCGGATTAAATATAAGCCGCGCGCCATTCGGCACGAGTCACGGCGACTTGTCGTGAAATTCGAATATTTGTCGAGCGAATTCGTCCGGCGATTCGTGTGTTGAAATCCACGAGCCGAAGAAATCCGTTCGAATTATCAAAAAATCATACACAATGTGATAATATTATTATAGGCGTTCGAGTTTTATCGAGGTTGGCCGACTGCGCGATAATGGCTCGTAACGGGTGTGAATTCAGCGGCAGTGCGGTAGTAGGTCGACTAATAACCTACGATACGAGAAAAACAGAAAGAGGAGCGGAGAAAAAATAAAACAATCACAAACAGCTATACGATAATGTATAGATTTAGTTTAGAACAGGAATCGAAGGAAGTACAACTTAAATGATAAATTAAGGTTATTGATTGAAATTAGTTCAATTCGAAAACCCTAAAGATGTAAGACGTCGAAAAAGGAAGACCAAAAACGAAATTAAATCAAAAGTAAAGTATCGGGGATGCATTGAAGAATATTAGTCTTGGATGTAGAGAACGGCGCAGTGAAATTGTATTGCCATTCTGATCTTCAGGACCGTAGATAAGAAGCAGAAGTAAAAAAAAAACTCACGAAATGATCGGATAATAAATCATGGGATAATAATATTTTCACGGAAACAATTTGTGATTGGTTTCAAATATTTTTTCGCGTTACCGTATTATAGTGCGTGACATAAAATATTTTATGGATTATCAATAAAATTGCCCGCTTAGTACGTGACCGCCGTGCTTCAGATTCGTGATTCAGATTCTTGTTGTTCTGCAATTACATACATCTGCGATTTTCGTAGATATCCGAAACGTCAGAAACCATGGCCATCGTTGTTTTTCGTAGCCAACGTTCATCAATATTTGCGTGCACGTTCTCCGGTATTTTTTCAAGTATTCTAACTCGCAAAGTTTCGATTTTTTTTTTTTCCTTTTTCATTGTAACCAGTTTAGTTTATCGAATAACAAATTTTTTTACCACAGCGACGTAGTTTTTCATAACCTTTCGATAGCTGATATTTTCGATTTTCGTAGCGGAGTGGAGTTTATAACAGTTCATGAGCGGCGTCGTAATCGGCAGACGCATAGTCGTAATACGTATTATAGTCAAACACACGTGTGCCGAAACGGATCTCGGTACGCTAGTGTGACACCGGGTCACGCACAAGGCGGTACTGCCCTCGTTGTCGAGTAACCGGCCGCACAGTGTGTTCGTACCATGGGTGTAGAATGTAATAAACGAACCGCGAAAATGGTCGAAATTTTATCTACGGAACCATAGAACTTAACCGGCCGCATAAAATTCGTCATTCTTCCGCGGGACGGAGAAATTAAAAACCGTCCGATCCCGGTTCGCCGTCCGAATAGTGCCGGTTTCGGACGGCGGCGCGCGGCGGTCGACGGTTCCGCCGGTTCCGGAAACCAGACGGGAAATTGACTATATACATTTTTTGCGGAGACGTCTGGGCGGCGTACACAATACGTAGGAAAAGGATTTCTCGGTCGAAAGGACTCCGGTACATATATTAATCTATACATATATACATATATATATATATATATATATATAGGGTAGCTATAGGGTACACCCACGCCCATCTTCGTATTCGCCTCGTCAGGCCCGATCCTCCCGACATCACGACGATACCGAAAAGGTTCGAACAAAAGTTCGCTCCGCCATCCCTCCCCCTCTGCTACCTCGTTTCTCCAGCACCCCCCCCCCCCCCTCTCTCGCTTAGGAAAATCTCCGGACATATGCGTATGTATATATATATACGCGTTTATTCGATCGAACGGTATTATACCGTCGTTTTAAGTGCCCGCGGCGGCGTCGGCGGTTCGTATATTATTGGCACACGGACGGAAAGAGCGGCTCCTCTCGTAGATATAATAATATTATAAAACGCCGTATAGGGAAGAAGAAAACCGAACGATACGACGATGATGAAAACGTCGATTGCGCCTCGGCGTCGGCGGCGGCGGTGGCGGTAAAACGATTACGTTTTGGACCCGACCCAAAGCCGATTTCCCGGACCCGTTGCGGTGCTACGCCCCATTTACAATAATAATAATGACGATGATAAAACCGTACACGTTTAATAATAATATTATTATTATTATTATAGTCGAGACCGGACGTTGTCTATGGTTAAAAAGTCGACGGCACTGGTTTAACTAACATTTGTTAACTCATAGCTTTCGACCTTTGATTTTTCGTTAGTTGATCTTTTCAAACCGAACTCGCCTGTTCCTTTTACATTAGCTTAGTAAAACAAAAATAACGAGCTAAATTAGTATTGACTAGACTGTCAACTTTAACAATACTTCCAAAAATTCCAAAAATCAAAATTTTAATATACCATGCAAAATGTGACCGTAAAATGGAACGCGAGCATACTTTAATGAACTACCCCGTGTATATTTATTTCACTCAATAATTTCAATCCTACGTGCGATATACATAAATATTCAATCGTCCCTATATATTTTCGAAAGGAAAGGAATAGTGAATTCTGAACGAAATTTCCGACATATTAAGATGTATTTGATGTTGCAACATCGTTGACAATAAACGTGCAAGGTTGAACTTCGTCACTTTTTGTGGGCCTCGTTTGAAATCCAAACTCAGATGGGGAAATTATCAATTTATGGGTACATGGTTATTACCATGTGTGAGGGAAATATTGATATAATGGTCGCCAACCCACTTAGAAATAAGCAGGATTTTTTTTAGATAATAGATACAATATAAAAAACAATTGGTTTAAAAGATATAAAATATTTTATTTTTGATACATTAAAAGTAATGAAAAAAACATGCTGTTGATAGATACATGTAATGATAATCATAATAATATATGGGGATTATGAAAGAGAAAAATTATAACGACTCACTCATTTACATGGCGTATAGACAATTTAATGATATACCTATATAAATTTACAATTTTAATATTAATGGGTAGGTATTATGGGTGTGCGCAATGGTTCCCTACCGCCATAACCAATTCATAATCACGGGCAACTTTTAAATTTTAATTTGGCGGTTCATAATTGGACGTTACAAACGTTTATGGAAAAACGCAAGTATTTATGAATTACTTGGGGTTCACTCGTGTGATATATACCGGTATGAAAATTGGCAACAACGCTTAAAATTTCGTACATAATCATGATTCGCAGTGAAAATTCTTTTACATGATCATTCTGTTTAGGGCGGGTGATCAGTGAATTTTCGAATTGGTGAAATTTGACGTGCTGCACGTGTATAAGTACATAAATGCGACTTGTAGAAGTATTAATATATTGAAGTATTACGTTCTTGTTTAAACAATATACTCAGGATACTACATTTCGTATTCGAGACGCGTATTATTTGAATAAAAAATATTCGAAATATCGCTATTATACGTATATACTTTTCAAAAATACACATATATACAAGGTGTCCTACTGTATTATCCTTATGCTAATAATTCTGTCAATATTCATTTTTTTTTCAATCGGGTTTTGTGCGTAGGGGACACATATGTATATAGAGAAAAATTAAATTTGTATTTTCATCCCTTACTTATTGAAAAAAATAACTTTCGTTTTATCGTATTTCAACAAAATTCAAAGTAGCCCATTTAGTAAAAAAAATTATTCTAAAAATTTTAACATAACATACATTCATATCTAAACAATAGTTTATTAGTTATAGTGGTTTTCATGTATACAAAATAGGCATGAAAACAATTAATATTCAATTGAATATAAGGAATTACCGTGCTGATTATGATTTCTTAGCACGTAAAATCTGCTATTGTATTGAAAATCAATTGTTTTGACGACAATTTTCTAAAAATAAAATCGGCTATTACTAAGACATTATTGATCGGATAGTGTAAAAATAAAAAGTTATTTTTTTCAGCGTTTAAGGGATGAAAATAAAAATTGAATTTCTTTAATAACTTTGTCCTTTTTTCACGAAACCCGAATAAAAAAAAAAATTTTAAAAAACAGAGTTATTAGCATAAGGATAACACTTAAGAATACCCTGTATATATTGTATTCAGAATACATAATACATAAAATACCTGTACGGTCTATTCGAATACTTTAAAAAGAATTCGTATTATCTTTTTATTTTTTTTTTTCGCTGAATACGTTATTTCGCACGCGAGGTCTCAAAGTTTATATCACACTCACACCCGCGGGTGGTATTGAAACCGACATGTGCTCGCGTTCAGACAATAAATTGATATTATACAACGTGACGCATTATAAGACGACGTGTTGCCCGACCCGTAGCGATTTTAAACAATAAATTATATTTTATGGAAAATTCTGCCGCGCTCTATCACACGTTACAATCGCCCATTCACTCCCCCCCTCCCCTACAATAGCAATACCGCCGGAAATAGCTGCTCGATAATTCCCGAATTTAGAAATTTGTTTACCAATAAATATGGATTCATTAATAAACGAATTGATTCGTAATTACGCGTAAACGTGGTTCATGGACCGTTATGTAATGTTAATTTGTATCTTAATGAACTCGATGATTCCCGAGTTTCCTCGGCTACAAGCGAATATAACTCGAATGATACCAACAGTTACCTACTAGTACTGTAACCTTATCAGTTTATCGATATCCACTCGAAATCAGAATTTGATTTCGACGATTTATCGTTACTTTCAGTATCTATTTAAATAAAATAACATGTCCCGCAGAATGACTGATTCATCGCCTAGCTCAGACTATCACTGGACGGAACGGGTTGAAATTTGGCACGCAGATAGTAATTATTTATTATGAAGTAGTCATCCGCTAAAAAAGGATTTTCGAAAATTTAACACCTACAGGAGTAAAATAGGGATTTTTGGGTATTTTTGATACGAATATATATCTAATTGTTTATTTATGTATATATTTTTTGTTTATTAATGGTTATCCTGGTGATACGGGTGAAATAAAAAAAACAATTGGTCCGGACAATGCCGGACGGGACAGCTAACGGGAAGGGAGGGTTTTCGGTATTTTTAGAACATTAATTGAATTTTATTTTGTTGATTTATAGCTGGTTACCTTGATGACATAGATGATAATTTGGTTATCACGGACAGAAAAACCATTATTATTATGTATTACTATCATTTACACTATATTTAGTAATAGCAAAGTATTTTCGGGACAGCTAGTATTATATTATAAACTAAATTAACCTATGTATCCGAACTCCTCATCAACAAGTCACAATAGTAATCTACTATTGTAGGGCACATATATATATGGCTTCTTTTTGTTATATTTTCAAATAATGTAGGTCATAATATACTCAGGTTTGACTATTATTGAAATACGTAAAAAAAAATCCTGCAAATATTTATATTCAAATACTTTATATAAGAAAACGTGTCAACGCGCGATTCAAAATAGTGGCCTATCAAAAGTGAAATGTTTATTATGTCTGGATTTTTTTTTTTCACTACATCCGTTACGCCTTTATACGCATTTTTCAGCTCACACTCTATTATTCATTCCCTGGTGGTGTATTAACGGAGGGCTTGTAGAGGGTTTTCACTCCCCCCAGAGACTTTATTATAGGTACTTACCTATATATTATATTTTCCGTCAGCGTTCGCAATACGAATTTTAGCTAGACAAATTTGTTGATAACGAAAAAAAAACAAAAAACTCTTGAGCAGCAAAGCTTCATAACTAAAGTTAAATTCCCCCAATTTTTTTTAATTATAAAAATACATTTTATTTTTTTAATAAAATAATAAATTACTGAATACTTAAATAATACCATAAGTACTGTGTGTACTGTGTGTATTATAATACGAGTACAATTATACGATTTTCAGAAAAATGCTGAAATTATTATAAAATTGGGTAGAGGTAAGTGTTGAAAATCAAAACTCCCAAAAGGCATATCTTTGATACTTACACCAATACACCGTGTATATAGAAAATTTGACCCCCTGGCTTCTGTAAGAGTGTACAAAATTTAAAAAAAACACCTTCTCCTCCCTCAGCAACATGGTGAAATTCATATTTAAATTCAACCCGACTTTTATCAATGATATAAATAGAAGGAGGGGGGAAACGAGTAAAACGCTAAAACAATACGACAGATAAAAAAAGTTATTATGGTGAAAACAAAATGTTATATAGTATAATCATCTATAAATATTTTTTACCTATCTATATTTTTGATAATTATTAATTCTCGAGAAAACATTGCGTATACAACAAGTTGGTGAGCCCGTAAATTTATTATCACTTTAAACGTTTTTGAAAGGCACAAAAAATCAATAACCACAAGCGCCAAGTATTACAATTTGAATTCTAATTATATTATGCTTGTGCAATATTTTCTTCTCGTTTTTATTCCCCTTTACTTTAATTTATTCGGTTGTTAACATGTTTTCGTGATACAGTAATTGGGAAACGGGTAAATCTTTAAAATCTGTCAGATTCATTTTCAATCGCACCTCTGAATCTGAAATTCGCATCTGGACGAAAAGACACGATAATAATATGTCAGGCAAAAAGTTTTAAAAAAAAAAAAACACTCATAAAATAACCTATATATCATCATATTATGAAACTAATAATAATTCTCTCGCTCCGAACGGAAACTGAATAATAATAAATATCTGTATAGAATAAAATTTCAATCCTGATTTAAAATATCGGTTTTTATTTCTCTTTTGCGTTATTGTTTGGTAGTGGAAAGAATGACGAGTGAAAAAAAAAGTAGTATAATAATACGAAACATTTGCATATCCAATGAATAAGTAATAAAAAAATAATAATAATTTTGTATTACTTTTTTTTCAAGGTGGTCAAACAAAGGAAGAAGTCATAGAGACGAATGAAAGATTGAGAGCGGTACGGATTCGGTTGGAAGAGTCTTATGATACGGCTAAAAAGTCCCTCATTACACTAATGACTAAGTACACGGAGAGCAAGACAACGCGTAACGTCTTCCAAAGATATAATCTCCTGAAGGCCATGATTAAGGTAAAACATTATTATCATTATTAGTATTATTATCATTTATATGACTATAAAATAAAATATTTTGTTTGCACTAATAACGAGCCAAATCAAATTGTACAAAAACATAACGTGTAATCTAAACAAACAAAATAATAATATTAAAACAAAACAATATGAAATAATGTAGTTTCGCTCGTTACCCGTATATTATTTCTTAAATATTGGAGTATTTTTTTTTTATTTTTTAATCACTAACCAAAGATTATCTAAAAATAAGATGTTGATTTTTTATTTTGATTGTTTTCAGAGTTTTGATTCGATAAAATATAGATAACAAATAAAATAGAATCGTTTAAATCTTATTTAAGGATTTTATTTAAAATTTTCAAAATTTTGCACTTATCCCATAAACTATAAACATGCCCATCGATTTTTAATTTTCAGCTAGCCCTCCGCCAGCCCTTTTCATATGAAATTCTAAACGAAAATATTTTCTTAAACATGTTAATAATGCTTAACATGGAAATCGGATTTTCATATCATGAGTTATATCAGTTTAAAATGTATACTAAAGAATTATTGAACTATGAACCTGTAAACAATAGGCTGAGAACAATGAAAGGTGTCCGGGCCGACATTAAAAAATATAATCCGGTATCCCAGTGACGTCGTGTAATGTCGTGGGCCTTTTATTTGTGACATTCCGATTGGCTGTTGTAATCTTAGTTACATTTAGTAACCAATACCTACAAGACAATGTTCAAAGTTAGGCTGAACTCAAACTTAGTTGGTCGATTTTTCGGTGTTGTCAATATAAACACAACTTATCAATACGATCTAAAAACGTCGAATCGTTAAGTAAAATATGACACGGCACTGGACTATAATAATAGTATATATATACAGGGTATCCAACGAAGATAATACACTCATTTTATATAAAATAGATATATCTTCGCGATGGGACACTCTGTAGTATGTGTAACAGTGTTAAAGCAATCAAACCACAGTGAGAGCAACAGAGAGAAGTCCAACAACAAAGATAGATAAACGACATTGTAATAAGAAGATAGTATATACTGCAGTTTAAGTGCAATGTTTATATGCCCAGGAATTAGCTACCTACATTATCTTTTGTCCAACGATTTCAATCATATCCTGAATAGAGCATGAAAATGTTGGTATGTACCATGTGGTCCGTGGTATTGGGAACTGCGCGCCCTTATAATATATTAATGTAACGTAGGGAAAGGTTACCATCGAATAATGAATATTGCAATTACTGTTCTTCCTTTCACACCTCCGGTTTAAATTGTTATAACTCATAAACGAAAAAATATCGCAATACCATCTATAGTGTCATAATAATTGATATACATATCGAAATTATTAGAAAAATATTAGTTTTTCGATTCTGTGTGGAAACAGGGAGGGGGGAGATTGTCATGTTCAAACCAAAATTGTCCGTACCATTTATTCAAGGTATAAGTAGTAGGGTTGAAAATGTTAAAGCAGAGGTTAAACTGTGATTACATCCTGATAATGATTGAAAAAAACAACAAAACAAAAATCAATTTTGCCTTATTAAAATCCTCGGAGAAAATCGACGGATGGGGGTTTGTAAAAGAAAAAAAAAATCGCACAGTATATTATTTTGTAATCGTTTCGGCACAGACACAGCGTAATATTTGCGAATTTATTAATTTAATCAAAACAAACACGTAAATAATGAATTTCATACCGGCGGAAAACGAACGAAATAATAATAATTTATTTCTAATTATTCGTCGTAAACTACTAATCGAATGAATGTGCCGCGAATAAATAATAAAATATAATTGCAGACAATTACCGTTTTTGTACAAATAATAACCGTGATTTAAACCAGCGTTCGTGTGTTTATTCAGTATTTGTAATAATAATTTTAATATTTTATGAGTGGTAATATTCGGTGGACATAAAAAAAATAATAATAATAATAAAATATTACTTAATTTTATTTAAAACGTCATAAAATATCTGTGAAACACAATTTTTTTTTTAGTATTATTAATTTCGCCTTTTTTTTTTTAATGTCGTCGATGCGTTAAATGTCGTCGTTACTTTTTTCTCGCACCATCCGCGTTTTATTTATACACTAAAATATTACGAGCCGAGTTGTAACGATGGCTAAAGAATGATCGGCGAAACACGGCGGCCGCTCGAAAACCGGAAGTTTCGCGATAGCTTTTCAAAACTCGATTGTCTTTTGTCAAAAGTTATTTAATAATTTATCGCTGGCCATTACGCTGCGTGCACAGTGTATTATAATGTAATACACTTTAACAATCGTCCGATCTAGGGACCGAAATTTGCGAAAAATAAACCGGGCAAACTGGAACATTTTTGATAGTAGTAGAAATTCGGAAAGAATTATTGTCAAGCTTTTTTTAAACATACATACATATTTCCTAAAAATTATAGAAACACAAATGTACCTTTACGATAATTTTTTTCACATTTAAAAGTATTTTTTGAAATAATTTTTGTTTTTAATTTCCCGTACGGTTTTTGTATTTTACAATAAAAAAAATCCGAGTTTTTCCTGTAATTTTAATTCCTAATCCGAACCACGGCTTCAAATAATATAATATTATGGTACCGTATCAGCCTTTATTATAGGTACTCACGATTATTATAACATAATTATATCTATCTAATCTGAATAATAGATATTTATTCAGTATTGTCTGATAAAGATAAACTAAACAATCATAAACTTTTAATCTAGAGAGAAAAATATAATTTTCTTCACATAATAACCTATCGAAAACCAAATGCAAAAAGTAGTGAAAGCATACCAGATTAGGTACATACTCGTATGTAAACAGAGTGATTTTTTTTATTATGTACCGGCAATTATCCGAAAGGATTATAAGTGAATTTGATTTCTGTTTTTTTTTTTAATAATTATGGGACCGTTTAATAACTTTATTTTAAATAAATTGTATATTTATTTTTAAAGCTTAGCCTAAACTTTAAACGATTATAACCCGTAAATTGTAAATCTGATATTAGTGTCATGCATATAAAAATTTCTAAAAAAATATTCTCTATTTCTGTGTTTAAAAAAAGGGATTCCTATTTTAAAAACAAAAATATATACTTAATTAAAGTATATGGAGTAAGGGTGAAAAATTAAAAGCGGTTTTAAAATAAAGTTTAACCGATTCTACAATAATAAAAAAACAGAAATCAAATTCACTTAAAATCCTCTGAGAATATTACTGGTTCATGGTAAAAAAAACACCCTGTATATTAAAAATGTACCTGTATAAGACACATCAACATTACCGTTAATGTTGTCAGTAATCTACGCGCAAGTTTTTTTTTTTTTTTTAATATTGTGTCCCTTTTGCAGGAAGTGATCCGGTTGGAAACGCAATACTGGACACTGGTCGAGATCCCGAAACAGGAAAAACAAGAGACTGTACCGTCGTTCGTACTCAGGGCATGCGGCATTGTGGAGAAATCGCAAAAGTCCGGGGATGGAGTTAAGTCTAACGCGAAACTAGCTGAAGAGGAAGAAAAGAAACGAGAACGCATAGACAGACTTTGCGGTAAATATATTATTATAATTATATTCATATTATTATAGTCCTACGACTTTACATAATCAACCAAAACTCTGAAGTCGACGAGATAATATAAACATCTTCGTACTTTCAACTTTCTAATATGGGAGGGGAATTTAGAAATTCAAATGACGGATTAATAAATATATAGAACTTTCAACTTTTAATCCAATATAATAAGTGCTATCATAGATCCCCTAATAAAAACCTATAAACAACCCCTTAAAGAATTGTCGCAAAAAAAGCACTAAATGTACATAAAATATGGAATAAGTACTAAATACTGTTTAGTTGTCAAATGTATGTTTCAGGACATTTTTAAGAAGAATTTTTTTGTCCAAATAGACACACATGTAAAACATCGTAAATGAGAGTATTTTTTACAAATCGAAAATAGAGAGGTACACAGCACATTAAAATATTTCTAGAGGTACTCCGATACTCAGAATCTAAAATTATAGGTGTAAGTTTACGCGGGCCGGTAGTTGATTAGATGAGATTTGTTGTAACCTTCTAGTAAAATTAATCATAAAACTATGTAACTAATGAAAAGTAATTGTTATCATTATTTTATTAATGTTACAAATAATAAGTGCGGATGATTCGTAAATTCGAGTCGGATGATAGCGAGTGTAATCGATCATCATTAAACGACCCGGGCTCTATGACACGAGTAATTATATACAATGCACATTTATTCAATAGCAAAAAATATTAACGTGCATACTATACGATTATAGACTGTAGTTTGTATTTTCAAACGAGACATAATTATATTCAAAATTGAAAATGAGGAGGGGGGTGCGAGTGTGTATTACCCGCACAGTGCAGTATGAAAAACCAATAGATATAGGGGAAATTATTTGACAAAGTGCACTGGCCAGCGCTAAAATGAAGCACAACCGAGAGCTTCGAGTTTGGTAACGAAAATCAAGAAGAAAACAGTGGTACTAACATACCGTGCCAATTGCAATATTTAAGGGGGATTAGGGAGATATATCTGTTTCTTGACCTTTCTTAGTATCTATTATTTATATGCCAAATTATTTTTTAAATTCAAATTTCTTTACTTTTTATTCGGAATATATTGGAGCCTATATTTAACCTATTTAATATATAAGCCCCGCATCCCCCCGAACATATCAATTTTCTTGTTTAAAACTAAACCTATCCGAACCACTAGAATATTAAGGAGTTAATAAAGCTTAAAAAGTAAAGAAACTAATAATTATTAGTAATAATTTATTATTAATATAGTTATTTGATTTCAATAATAATTTATTTTAGGGCAGATTGAACTATAAAATATTTATGAAAATATATAAATTAAAAATGAATCTTTTTTTTTTTAACTTAAACACTCGTTGTAAAATACAACACTATTTCCAAATTCAGTATATCACCCTTGACAAAATCCTGAATGCAACACTGTACCTCTTTTTATAGGAATATGTAATCCATACAATACATTATAGTCCATAAAAGTACTTTTACTAAAACGAACATATTGTTGTTGTTCTTCTTCACAAGGGGTTATCAGCCATTAAAACCATCCCGTCACGGTGTCGTACACACAATCCTCCGATTCTCCTTCTCAGTTGGGCTAACTTTCCAGTTTGACCCTCCGTTTAGAGATTCCGTGTTTCTCCTTACCATATCTTTTCGTCTTAAACGCAGTTAGTCTCTTTCCTTATGTCTCTCTTCCATTGTCGTGCGTAAAAGTCAATTCTAACTTCGCAAAGCGTGACCTGTCCCGCCTTGTCGTTATCTTCTACTCTGGATTGTATCTAATATATTGTTTTTTTTTTTTTTTATTCGTCATTCGCGGTTTCCCCGTCTTTGCTGGTCTTATATTTTCCGACGTAAATATTGTAATCGTCCCGATTGTTATTTATATACGGATATGATTAATAACGTTTATGAGCTAGTTATAAAAATATAATATAATGTTTTAAACATATTACATTTTTATTGGCGTTCGAGTATAATATATTATGAACAGGCAGAGAGGGAATTGTGTCATATAAATATCCATAGCCATATTTTATTTTTCGAGATATTAAATTCGTTTCCAATAAAATATCATATTTATTGCGTCTTATAATGCGTACCAAAAGGAATATAATATTGTAAACGTAATACGATTTTTGTTTGAATATTTTTTATTAGTATGTACTAAAATACACCATAGTTATTACGGACTTATTTTATTTTTTTCTAAAGTTCAATAACAATCCTAAAAATCTAAAATCTTACCTAGCCAATATAACCTAAATCTAAAACTGTTTCATTCATCTAAAAAACGCAATATATTATAATTATACAATATACAATATACATTATAAAATATTATTATAACAAATTAAAGTTTAAAAGAATCTCGTAAAATTTTAATATTTTTCGATTTATAATGATTCTGATTTTACAACTTATTAATAATTCTAAATTTTAAAAACTAAATAACTAAACACAATAATTTAACGTGCATAAATAAGTAAATTTAAAAACTTGAACAATAGAAAACGACTAAAATCAAATTTTCTGCCACCAACAATTTACATTATAGAAATATTCTTCGAAAAATCATAACCGAAGACTATAATAATGCATTAACATACTATATACAACAATGTTATTATACTACTACCAAAATAAATAAATACAAAATTATAAAATTTAATCAAAATAATAATAGAAGCACATTCTTAAAACCAACACTATATGTTTAAACAAAAATGCATCTTCATGTTTCATTTGGGGGGACTATATTTTTAGAAGTAATCAAAGCTAAACAAAATTTAAAAAAACACTCATCTCGCAATGGCATGGTTAATAATCATATTCAAATTTATCTCAACTTGTATCACTTCAATTTGCCAATAAAATAACGAGTATAAGTATAAGCTCATTTGGTCCTGCAGTACAAGTACCTTCTATACAGTACCACAGAAAATAGCCAAATGTAGTGATTAAAAAAATAGAATAAATAACAGATACAACACAATTCAATATTGTCTATTTTTGGGTAAAATTCCACAAAAAGTAAATAAAACGAACAACACAAATCATATACCCAAGAAGAACAATATGTACTTTAACAATTACCTATAAATTGTAAAGGTTATAAAGAAAATATTTATGTTTGTTGTTTTTTTTTTTAAATGTTTAATTTTAGAAACAACCCAGAATTTCTAGCATCTCGAAGAATCTATTCTAAGTTAACAACATATTTCAGTCACATTTTACTGTAGTTTGCGTGCATAATTTTTCCAAACGCCGCGCCGTTGTTTTCTTTAAAATCTATTAATCGAACGTTTACTAAACATATTATTCGGCTCGTATGGCCTTTGGTGTTTTTGTTTTCCTATCTCGCAATAACCCAATCGTGATGTCCTTATCGCTGAACAGCGCAACGCTGTCACTTCCAACTGAACATCTCTAATTCGAGTTCCGCGTTATCGCGATAGAAACTGACGCTTTCTGCGCCACTCTCGGCTCAAAAGTCTATCGATTGTCTTATCTAAGCAAAAACACCGATGTATAGTTGTAGTGTATTATTAGTCCGTAAACTACAAAACATGACGTAGGTATCGTAAACCTTGTGTAACGCGTTTCAGGAATTTCGGATCCTCTAAAGGTAAAGAACTTAGGACCGACCGGCATTATTTAAGTCGGTATATTAGCTTGCGGTTAAACAATATTATAACAATTAATCTCGACCGCGCCACGTCGGTCTTCCAACTTAATTTGTCTTATCCGGAAACGTTCAGATTTTGTTTTAAAATATATTATATTACACTTCTACAACATAATAATATACTCGTTTAACTATTGACTACATGCATGCATAAATAAAGAACATCACATCGTGTAAATAACATAATAATATAATAATTACAAAAATAAATTTAAAAAAAAGAAGTACATTTTTGCAAGACTGGATAATGTACATTAACGACTTGAAAAGTTAAAATTTAAGTAAATTTAACCTCTGATTTTTTTTTCATTAATTTTGCAACTTATTTGTTTTACATTACCAAAAATAAATAACTCGTTAATTTTGAATAATTATATTACTATTAGTTATAATATATTTCTATTAATTTTTGTACACATATTAAATTTACAATCCACTATATACATTATTCATACAGTCATATAAAAAATATCAATAATAGATATTTCATTTTTTTTTTACAACATAATGTATATGGAGTTCCAAGTTTAAAGCTTCATCATTATGTTCAACAAAACACAAACTCTAGATTTAATCAATTGATCAATTTCACTATGATAATAACAATGTAAAAACAAATTAACTTAACAGTTAATAAATTAATTCAATTCTCAAATTAACCACTATCTCAACACATTTAACAAATAAAAGTTTTGTATTCTAAAACATTTAACTTTTAACGTAGGTAGATGAACTACTCATTTTGTTGTTTTTTTTTCAATTATCTTGACTAAACTGAGTTGATTATTATTCGTCAAATTACCCGACTTAACTTTTTCGTTTTCGTCAAAAAAATAAAAATAAATAAATTTTTAATTTAGAGTGAAAATTCACGACAGTTTTTATTCGAGATTTCTGTCATCATATTATATTAATACAATAAAATATTGAAGTTTAAATGTACGATAAATGTCTACGAAGTGAATTTAAAATGATTTTCGGCAAGTTTTAAAATTCTATAGCAAAACTACGTTTGAAAACTGTCAAATGAAAATAATAATAATAATTTTTGTTGGTGGTGCGAGAATATTCCGACCGGATATCTCGTTTAGAGGTTATTCAACTGTAGACTGCGGTTCCTGCACCGGCACAATATCCGGCAAAATCGACAGAGGTGAACTTCACGCCGAACGGTCAATATAAATAATCGTGCGAGCAGCGGTCCCAAAACTGCACCTACATTATTTCTGTAGAAAATCCTTTCCTATATTTGTGACATATTCTATATTACATTATATTCTCATGTATGTTCAACTTGTTGGCTGAGCTAATCAACGAATATGGTAACAATAAAAAAAAAATATATAGTTTAAAACTATACGCGATTAAACTATCCCGTT